CTTATGTACACTTATGGTTTCTCACAACAGAGAAACAATGTGGTATTTAAACACATGTGTCTGATTTATTTCACATAAGAGTATAGTCTTAAGTTATACCCATTTAGCAAAATATGTCTCAAGTTTATCCTTCTTTATGGCACAGTAGTACTCCATTATATAAAACATTTTTCTGTTATCTATTAGTCAGTTGGTGGTATTTGGGCTGTTTCCAAGATTTACCTTTTACAAACTGTGCTGCTATAAACATGGGTGTGCATATATCACTGTGGTATGATGCTTTCAATTGTTTCAAGAAGATACCAAGAAGGGAAATAGCTAGGTCAAATGCAACCTCTAGTTTTAGTTTTTGAGGAATCTCCACACTGATGTCTACAGTGGTTGCACCAGTCTACACTCCTACCAATGGTGGAGAAGGGTTGCTTTTTCACCACTAACAATTGTTATTGATTGATTTCTTGATAATAGCCATTCTTTCTGGAGATGGAATCTAAGTGTTGTTTTAATTTGCATCTCTTGAATGACCAGTGATGTTGAACATTTTTTCCATATATTTATTTGCTGTTTCCACTTCATCTGAGAAGTGTCTGTTCATTTTAGATGCCCATTTTTGGATTGGGTCTTTAAATTTCAGGGGTCTGATATTTTTTGAGTTCTTTATATATACTAGATATTAGTCCTTTGAGGAACAGCTGGCAAATTTTTTTTTCACATACTGGGTTTGATATGGGAAAGAAAACTAAACCAATGCCATTTTGTGTTCTAGTGTCATTTTAAAGCTTAAGTTTCTGTTTAAGTTTGTTTCTTGAAAATGTTGTCATAGTTACCTGACCTGATACCACCCCATGTTCTGTCATAAGACTGCTTGCCCCCTATGTAAAATGTCAAACACCTTTGTTTCTTTGTCACAAGCTAAGCCCATACTTTGTAGTATTTCTGTAGCTGCACTAAATCATATCAGCACCCGCCCCCCCGCCCACTTGGAACTAGATTTGGAAATAGAACTGTATAAGTATTCCCCCCTCCTGCCCTTTGAGGTTGGTACTCAGTCACGTATTGGGTGTCCACCACCAGCTCCCAATAAACTTGCTTGTCTCTGCATCCGGCCTCTGCGGATGACTCAATTAAATTGCCACACAGGTTGTCTTTACTGTTAGTGATTTCTTTTGCTGTGCAAAACTTTTTAGTAAGATGACATCCAAGTTGTTGATTCTTTGTGACAGTTTCTGTGCAAGCCAGGTTTTGTTCAAAATCTTTGCCTACCCCAGTGTCTTTAGTAGTTCTACCTATTCTATCTTCCAGCAGATTTAGTGTTTCTGTTTTAATATTTAGATCTTTGATCCATTTTGATTTTAGTTTAGTACATGGTGAAAGATATGGGTCTAGTTTTAGTCTCTGGCATGTGAAAAGCCAGTTTTTCCAGCACTATTTATTAAAGAGGCTATCTTTCTTCCAGTGAAGGCTTGGCCCCTTTATCAAAAATAAGCTAGCTCAGTGTGCTTGGAGTTGTTTCTGCGTCTTCTATTCTGTTTCCTTTATTCCTTGGGTCTATTTCTTTGCCAGTACCATGTTGTTCTTATCACAGTAGCACTGTAGTACAGCTTGAAGTCAGGGATTGTGATGCCCCCTGCTTTGTCTTTGTTGCCTAGAATTGCCTTTGCTATTCTAGGTCTCTTCTGGTTCCAAATGAATTTTAGGATTGCTTTCTTTAATCCAGGGAGATATACTTTTGGAATTTTCATAGGTATTGCATTAAATCTGTGTAATTTTGAATATGGCCATTTTCATTATATTGGTTCTTCCTACCCAAGAACAAGGGATATCTTTGTACTTTCTGATATCTTCTTCAACCTCCTTTTTCTGAGTACTGTAGTTTTCTTTTTTTTGTTTGTTTTAAAGAGAGTAGTAAATGAAAAACAAACAAAAAAATAGAACAGTAGCAGCATACCAGTATCACAAACATAAACAAATCAAAGCAAGAACATTCAAAGTGATACAGGGTCTCAAGACAAAATAATACGAATCAACAGTGGTTGTTACATTACATATCACTATCCTCAACTACTCAGATTACCAGATGTAAGAATGAAAGATTGCTCAAACCATTAAAGAGAATAAGAAAATAATTCTGTGATAAAACATTAGAGATAATACAGTTTCACTAGAGAAGATAGTAGTTCACTATTGTAATTTTATTGCATATTGTTACCTTCAAATCAGTTGCTCAGACCACCAGACATAAGCATGCAAAATCTATCAGACTATAAAAAATTGTGAGCATTAACTGTTCATTTCAATACACCATCAGACATCAGCAATACAGTTATCAAAGCTAGTCATATATATATATTTTGCCTTCCTTCTTTTTTCTTCTTTCCCTTATCACAGTCATTCCTTCCTTTCAGCAATTTCTTTCCCTTTCTTATCTATTGTACGTTTTGAGTTTTACCTAGTCTTTCAGGTTTGCAGTTTTCAACATAAAGGTCTTCTACTTCCTTTGTTAGATTGACTCCTATGTACTTAATTTTTTTTGGATGTTATTATGAAAGGAGTTGCTTCCCTAATTTCTCTCTCTGTGTTTGCTATTAATGTACAGGAATGCTATTGAATTTTGAGTGTTGACTTTGTATTCAGCTATGCTGCTGAATTTGGTTATTAATTCTATAACCCTTTTGGTGTAGTTTTTAGGCATTCTGTGTAGAGGATCATGTCATTCACAAATAATTACTTAAGTTCTTCCAGTCTTTATTTCTTTTATTTGTTTCTCATCTAATTGCTCTGGCTAATGTTTCCACATCTATATTGAGTAAAGGTGAAAGTGGTCATCCTTGTCTTGTTCCTGTTTTAGAGTGAAAACTTTCAGTTTTGGCCATTTAGTATAATGTTAGCTATTGGTTTGTCACAGATGGCTTTTATCAGATTGAGGTAAAGACCATCTATTTCAATTTTCTGTAGGTATTTTATCATGAATATGTATTGGGCTTTGTCAAGTGCTTTTTCAGCATCTATTGAGCTGATTGTATGATTTTTGTCCTTGGCTCTGTTCATATGGTGCATTACATTTATTTTTTTGCATAACTTGAACCATTTCTGCATCTCTAGGATGGATCCTACTTGCTCATGGTGTATCATCTTAATGATTTGCTGCATTGTGTTTGCCAGTATCTTATTGAGGATTTTTATGTCTATGTTCATTAGGGAGACTGGCCTGTAGTTCTCTTGGTTGGATCCTTCTCTAGTTTTGGTATCAAGGTAATGCTTTCTCCCAGAATGAATTTGAGAGTTTTGCTTCCCTTTCAGTTTCATTACCGAGTTTGAAAAGTAGTGGCATTAAAGCATTAGATCTCTAAATTTCTTGTAGCATTCAGCAGTGAATCCATCAGTGCCTGGGGCTTTTCTTTGTTGGTAGGTTTTTAATCAATCTTCAATTTCATTGACTGATATTGGTTAATTTAGATTTTTTTTTTGTTTTTTAGACAGGGCCTTGCTATGTAGTGCAGGCTGCCTTCAACCGACTTATGTAACTCAGGCTGGCCTGGAACTCACAGTGATCCTCTGCCTGCTTCAGCCTCCTGAGTGCTGGGATTACAGGCATTACCACCACACACAGCTCAAATTTTCGTATCTTTTTTTATTCAGCTTTGGTTATTCACATGTACCTAGGAATTTGTTCATTTCGTCTGTGCTTTCCATTTTATTAGAATAGAGGTTCTTGAAGTTGGTACTGATGATCTTTTACTTTCTGCAGGATCTGTTGTGACTTCACCCTTTTCATTCCTAAAGGCATGGATTTGAGTTTTTCTTTCCTTTTTTTGATAGGGTTGGCTGAGAGCTTGTCAATTGTATATAATGTTTTAAAGAACCAACTTTTTATTATTTGTATCATTTTCTTAGTTTTGCTTGCATTAATTTCTGCTCTGATCTTTATAATTTGCTCCCTCACACGAGCCTTGGGGTTGACTTGCTCCTTTTTCTAGATGCTTGAGTTTCAGCATTAGGTTATTTGAGCTGTGTTTCTCTGACATGTGAATTCATTGCTACAAATTTCTCTTGTAGGACTGCTTTCATGCATTCTATAAATTCTGACATGGTGTATTGGCCTTATTATTTAAATGTAGATACTGTTTAATTTTTTTAATTTCCTCTGTGACCCATTGGTTGTTCAGGAGGGTGTTATTTAATTTCCATGTATTTATGGAGTTTTTGTGGTTTCTTTCGCCATTGACTTCCAATTTCATTGCACTATGGCCTGATAAATACGCATGGGATAATTTCAATTCATTTGCATTTACTTAACCATGTACTGTAAGCTAGTACGTGGTCTGTTTTGGAGAACATCCCATGTGTAGCTGAGAAGCATGTGTATTCTGATACTGTGGGGAGGAACACTCTGTAGACATTTACTAAGTCCATCTGTTCCAGTAGTGACTGTGTATTTGCAGGTTTGAGCCTCCCCTCCCATGCAGAGTCGGGGTCAGGGAGAAAGCACTGCTTGCCACCTCCTCCTTTGTTCTCCTCATGGGTTTCTATTCTTGTTTCAGCTCCTTGCTAGGTCCCCAGGATCCAAGCCCCTCCTTTCTTCTTCTCATTGCTATACTCCAGTGCCAGCTGCTTGCCTACTTGCTACTGGGTGTGCACTTGGCAAGTCTTTCCTCATCATACACAAAAGCCTGAATCAGATCAGCCCATCCCACAATATAAAGGGGAGATAGACTTGTGCCCCAGGAGGAAAGCCTAGACTTCTGTCAGGTATCACACAGCACCATGCTGTTTATGAGGTACATGCGAGGATGGCCACTTTACATTGCTGAGTCTTAGAAAGTGCAGCAGCTGTGTGAAAAATGTTCCATGTCCCTGAGACATGAGTCTGAAAAATGTCATCACACACTGTTGACACTGGTAGCCCTTGGGGAGGGAGTGTGAGTTTTCATGACCAAAGTGTCCTTAGCTTTCACATCTGGGCCATGTGCCTGGATTCTTTGTAAACAGATGACTACATCTGAAAAGTAAATCACAAGCTTTTATTATCCTCAACAACAGATGGCCAGGTTTGAAATCATGGGACTGAGCTACCACACTAGGACAGCGCATCCGGGCCAGGGCAGCCCCACATGGCCACCCAGAGTCCTGGGGCCTGCTGCCCATGGAGGCTGCAAAGGGGTCCCAGGCTCCTGGACACTCAAGAGCTCTCCCGTGTGACATCAGGAGGCCTGGCACTGGGGAACAGCGCAGTGTGCTTCGGGAAGCGGTGAGCATCCCCGCAGACCCCATGTCCCCTCCCGGCTGCTGGCCCAGCCGCTCTGCGCGTGTCCCCTCCATTCAGGCCACAGTGCTGGGTTCCTGAGGGGCTCGGCAAGGTGTCCGCCTCACTCTGAGTCCGAACTCTCACTCGACTTGGACGACTTCTGCTTCCGCTTCTTCTTCTTTTTCTTTTCCTTCTTTCTTTTCTTGTGCTTCTCCTTCTTCTTCTTCTCCATCCAACTGATCTGAACAACAAAACAATAAACTTTCCTTCACCCCCTTTTTAATCAGGTCTAAGCTTTAACAAAAGCTCAGATCCTTAAGAGTGTGGAAGATAAACTAAGTCACATGGGTAAGCCAACTCCAGTGTGGGGTCCAACAGCAGCAACACAAGTGTGCCCAGCCAGCCCGCTGCTCGACCCAAACCTCATGGGAGGGCACTGGCTACCTACCCCCATGCTGGCCTGCTCATCCTGATCACTACCTGCCTGTGCCCCCGCTGGCTGCCCATCCCTATACCGGCCTTCTCAGCAATGGGCTCACCCTCCCCACCATTCACAGCTTGTGTCCGTGACACTGGAACCATTCCCTACATTAGAATACTCGTTCCCGACCCTACACAGTTTAAGATGCTAAGTGAATAACCTCACCTCATGTCCTTCTCATGTCTTTTATTTTCCCGAATGATGGTGTCCATGGGATCTTCATGTGCCTTAAGGGTCAGAGAAGGGTATGGTTAGGCTTTACAGACTGTTAGTTAAGTAAGAAATAAATCCTTATATGTCACTGAAACTAGTACTTTTGTTGTTACTGATGCTGTTTTTGATGCTACGTTGTCTAGGTTGACCTGGAACCTACCATGCAGTCAAGGCCAGCCTTGAACACGATCTTCCTGTCTCAGCCTCCTGAGTGCCTGAATTATGAGTATGTGCTACCATACCAGGCTAACCCAGTGTTTGATGTTGCTTTATGTTCAATGTATTTTTGTCCTTTTTAAGGATGTTAATATAAACTCATTAAGGCTACAATAGTAATTCTCCAATTAGAAAAATATGGAAAACAATTAAATATTCTTCGTGAGGAAATAACTGAGCTAGGAGAGGTGGCACACACTATAAGTCCTCCACTTAGAAGATGGAGGCAGAAGGATCACAAATTCACAGCCAGACTGGGCCACATAGTGAGACCCTTTCTCAAAACCACCACCACCACCACCATCACCCTTCAAAGAGAAAACACCTCTAAACAACTGCACAAAGAGCAGCACACTTGATTCTCATTTAAGAGAATTCTCAAGTTGAGAAATACTGAGGTAACTCTCTTTGGTCTATGTGGTCAGATGACTGAGGGTGGAAAAGTGGGTTGCAGAATGATGTGTGAGAATGACTGTAAGTAGTAGGCGCATCCGACTGCTCACTGCGGGTTCCCTCGGGAGTCAGTGAGGCTGGACTTGGCGGGAAAAGTCCTCCTGGGAGGTTCTGTTTTGTTTAATCATGCCAATGTGTTCTATTATTTCCTCCCCTACCCCCCCAGTATTGGAAGCTGTATTTTCAGCTCTTCTTAAATGAAATTTTATTTGGAGATGAGGTCTGGCTAAGTTGCCCAGGCTGGAACTTGCAATCTTCATGAGCCTTAGCTTCCTGACTAGCTGGGACTGCACACTAGCTAGGACTGCAGACATCACAGGTGTGTGTCACTGTGCCAAGCCAGTTACATATGGTGGCTTCAAATACTTAAATATAAGAACACATGCATGAGGAATATGTGAAGTGTGTAAATTACCTCAATTAGAAAAGGGAATGCATGCTAACTGCAGAAATTTTAGATATTTAAAAAATGTGTTGAGGACTGGGGGTGTAGCTCAGTTGGACAGCACTTGCCTGCATGGAGGAACCCCAGGTTGGTTCCCAAGAACCAGAAAATAAAAATAAAAACAAACGTCAAAGCCTGTTCTCTCATCACCAGGGTGACTGCTGCTAGTCATGGGGCTATTTTTCCTGGTCTCATCACTTATGAAGGGTTTGTGTCATACGACACACACTCTGCTCCACTGTCCTTCCCTTAGGGTTGCTCATGGCACCAGGGGGTTGAATCCAGGGCCTTTACACTGAGCAACAGCCCCAGGGCATTTTTATTCTTTTAATTTTGAGACAGGGTCTTGTTAAGTCCAGGCTGAGTATGAGCTTGCGATCTTCCTGCCTCAGCACCCAAAGTACTGAGATTATAGGCGTGTACCTCCATGCCCGGCTTCTCTTAAGTTTCCACAAGCATTTTCTTGTACCATCCCACATTCTTCTCAGTGTAGACTGCCTGCCCAGGGCTCTGGAAGGCCCCAGGCTCAAAGTCCAGTACCAAGACCACCGCAAACTTGGAGAAGTTCCGGCGACTCACTGGACACAGGCTGGTAACCTGAGTGCATTGCTCAGTAGCGACTTCACTTGGCAGAAGCCGTAACTGCACACTGAATGAAGGCCTCCAGAAGAAGACTTGGTAAAGATAAAGTGAGGAAAGGATAGACGAGTTTTACTGTCATCTAGAGAGGAAATACAGTTCTAACTTAAAATAGGAAGGCATCTAAGCAGTCTGGGAGGCTGAGGCAGGAGGACTGCAAGTTCAAGCCCAGTCTGGGCCCTGAGTTCAATCCCAGTGTCTCTCTCATGTGCGCAAGCACGCACGCACGAGCGCGCACACACTCACACACACACAGAGTCACACAAATACCATTTAACAAAGGTGCAGCTGACATCACAGACTCTGGCTAAGGGTGTCCGGGGAGCGGGGTGTGCGCTTGCACGGGGCCTGCTGGCCTGAGGTGCTCGCCACCCGAGGACTGCAAACTCATACCCAGGGTCACTCATCACCCTGAACTGCTCTAACTTTTGGTTGCCTTTGATAAAGAAAGGACATTCTTTGTCGCCTGTCTAGTGGCCATACCGTTTGCAAAAAGAGAGACAGTTTCTGTAAGATGACAGTTTCACCTCGTCAAGATAACATTTCAGTGTTAGTTTTCCTTCATTAGACCCCAGTTCTAAAAGCAAATGTAATGCGTGGATGAAACACGCCAGTAAGAGCTCCAAAACGGGTAACGTGCTTGCTTCCCCAAGCATCTCTGTTTTATAGTGATGGGAATAAACTTCTGTCAAGCATTTCTCAATCTGGTGCCAACAATGGCAAGAGGGGAATTTATTTTTAGTCTCTATGCATGTAGAGAGTTATTTTTGCTTTACTAGAGACTGGACTAGGGCCTCTGCACTAAGCTATAGCCTGTGCCATTTTCCACTTTTGTATTTTGAGATAATGTAAGTTTTTCAGGCTGGGCTCAAACTTGTGATCTTCCTGCCTCAGCCTCCCAGAATGCTGGATTACAAGCATGTGCTACCATGTGTGGCTTCATTTTAATTTTTAGAATACATTTTTTCTGTTTATCAAGTTTAAGAACACTTGTGCTTTATGAACAGACTGTGAGTCTGGTGGGTAGAGGTGTACAGCACATGATTAGCAAGCTCAAGGCCCTAGGTAAAATCTCTAACATCAAAAATAAATAAATAGGACTATTGGTGGTGCATGTCTGTAATCCTAGCACTTTGGATGGTGAGACACGATTTCAAGACCAGCCTGAGATACACAGTTAGACCATGTCTCATAAAAATAAATCAAAAATAGAAAAAATAATAAAGGCACTACTAGAATAGATAGTGTTTCAGTTTGTGAAAACCAGCATACAAATATCTTCTTTTTGTTTGTTTTTGAGATGGAGTCTTGGTATGCTGCTCAGGCTTATCTGAATGAAACTCCTATGCTAAAGTAATCCTCCTGACTCAGTCTCCTCAGTGTGAGACTACAGGTGTGTACCACTGTGTCTGGCCTTAGATCTCTGACTTTTAGGTAAACAAAATCACAAATGCTCTCCAAATGTGAATGCTGGTAGAACTGCAGCATAGCATTCCCTGCAGAACAGGAAACTGTGCTGTTTAAACAGGTTTCCTAGCAAAAGGCCCAACACAAGGGAACATATATGCTTCACGTCAATAAGGGGACACACAGATCTTCCCAGAATTTCAGTGACGATGGATTTGAGCTTAGGAGTTGCAGTATGGAAAAGAAAGTGGTGTGCAGGGCAGGAAGGACACGATTCGGATGTTTCTCTCTGTTTTTAGGCTCTTAGACTCACCGGGCTTTGAGGCAAACCATGCAGCAGCTGTATGGGGACGGTGAGCAAAGCGAGACTGCGTGTGGGGAAGGGGCCAGGAGGCTGGGGAAGCAGTTGGGGCACAGGGGCAAGCTCAACTGCTTCGGTCTGCACTGCCAACTACAGCAAATGCAGGGAGAGGCAAAGAGGGCTTGGCCGGTGTGCTTTTATCGGAAGGCTGGGTGAGGAAACCAGTCCGAAGAATGATGGCTGGGGACTCCTTGCTGCTCCTCCAATGATGCCTGTCCTCACCCCACTCCCCTTAGATCTGGGGCAGAGGCCCACACCCCACCCATCTGTGGGGGTGGAACAGGACAAGCTGCTGCCAGAACACCCGGAGATGCTGTCTGCCCAACGCTGTCTCACACCCACACTCCAGTGCGGTTCAGAGGGGAGGCGACCCTTGGGACCCCACCTGCCATAGCAAAACCAACACTGGTATCAGTATGCAACTGGCAGACGCCACGGTGACAGGAACGCAGGCCTCCTGGTTATCTGCTGCAGGCCCCACCCGTGGCCTTCATGCCTCAGCCCATCTCCTGGGCTTGCGTTGTTCACCTGCCCTAGCCCCTCGCCTGGCACTTCTGAGCTTAACGGTGCCCTCGCCACTCCTCTGTCATGTGAGACGTGCCCTGAAGGCTGTCCCCATAGTGTCAGAACCACGAGCCACATAGCCCTTGTTGGTTACCCACCCTCAGGGTCTCGCTGTCACGACACAAACAGACCAAGGAGACAGGAGCGCTAGCCCTGCCACACTCACACCGCATCACTTTGACCTCTGCATCCAGAGTCCTTTCGTGGGCACGTCGGCCAGGAACTCGCAGGCATGCTCGTTGCATGGCACGTCTGGGATGCAGTCTTCCGGCTTGCTCTCCTCTTCCTGCACGGAGGGAAGAGCATGTCAGCAACCTGGAGCCAAGGCGTGGGTTCTCTCCTTCCTGCTCGGAGCCCTTGTGCCCGGCTCGCTCCTGCGCTCATCCTCAGTCACCCCAGGAACCAGGGAGAGATGGGTGTCATCCCAGCACTCTGGGGAGCTGAGGCAGAAGCAAGTTTAAACAGCCTGGGCAATTTAGGGAGACACTGTTTCAAAATTCTAACATTTTGGGGTTGTAAACCCCATCTAAAAAATGGGGTTGTAGCGCAGTGTGAAGGCCCTGAGTTCAAGCCCCAGCACGAGGGGGAAAATAAAACAAAACAGTAGCAAAAGAACAAGGAGAAATAAGGAATCAGCACAGAAGTGCTACACCAGCTGGTGGCCGGGGTCACTGGGGAAGCGCGAGCGTGTCCTTCAGATAGGAAAGGCCTGGAGCACATTCTTATGGTCATTGGGCTCTAAGATCGGAAGAGGGTTCATAACCTCCAAGTCTGTGGGACAGGTGAGGTATCAGAACTGCAGCCCACCTCTGTGATGACGGAGGTCGCAGGTCCCATTAAAACTGCTCACTGCCTTTCGGCCCTGTGGGGTCATGGCCATGGTCCCACTGTGTACTGTCTGTGCAATTATGGGTCTGCTGTTTTTGTTTTTCACAAATTTAAAAAAATTCCTGAGTATTAAATTTATAGTACAAGAATGATTTTGAGGGGGTGGTACTGGAATGTGAACCCAGGGTAGTTGTACTGAGCTATACACCAGGACTTTCTAAAAAAATTTTAGTTTTTAGGTTTTGAGACAGGATCCTGCTAAGTTATTCAACTGCCCAGGCAGCCAGGCATGGTAGCACATACCTGTAATTCCAGCACCTGGGAGGCTGAAGCAGGATTGCTGTGAGTTTGAGACCAGCCTGTGCTACAAAGTGAGTTCAAGACCAGCCTGCACTACATAGTGAAGCCTTGTCTCAAAAAGCCATAAATAAATAAATAAATAAATTGTCCAGGCTGGGCTCAAACTTGCAATCTTCCTGCCTTAGCCTCATAGTCTGGGATTAGACATGTGCTACCATGCCTGGCCCTAGGACAGAAGTGTTTGTTTTTTTTTTTTAAATTGAAAGGTGCCAGACAAGACAGGCTTTTCGGTCTTCACCTGCTAACCCAGAACTCCTCCATGCAGCAGGCCTCCCCCAAAGGGCGCAGGCAGAGCTCCCTGTCCATAGGCTGCTCTCTGAGTGCAGGACCCTTGAGATCCCAGCGTGGTAATCTGAGTTATTTGCCCAAGAAAGCTGGCGCAGAGCCTGGAGAAGACACGGTGCAGGGAGGCACTGGACCTGCCTGGAAGCTCATGGTTGAGCCACTGGACACTAAGGTCCCCACATGACACAGCACTCAGCAGCACCCATCTGGTGACTGCAGGACAGAAGCAGGGGGCTCATAACAGCAGGTTTGAAGCCCACGTGCCTATTTCTCAGAAGACATTACTGCGTCTGCAGCACATGTGGAACAGCTAGAAGTCCAGGTGTCAACACTGACCTTGATAAGCCTAGGAGGAGGCTTCTCATAACTGTAAAATACACACAAATCCAAACCTGTTAGTGGGAACACAGTACTCCGAGCTAATGCAAAGCAGAGCTGTAGATATTTTTTGCTTAGCAGTATCGGGATTGAACCCTAGGCCTTTGCACTGAGCTGCGTCCCCAGTTCTTTTTACTTTTTGAGACAGCCTTGCTAGGTTAAGGCATCCAAACTGAGTTTGGATTCACGATCTTCCTGCCTCAGCCTCCCAGAGATTTGGGATGACAGGCCTGCGCCACCATGCCTGGCTTGTAAAGCTTCTAATCTGAGATTTTATCAAAGAAAAGCTGCCCTGCCTGATCTAAAGCCCAAATATGACGGCAGACAGCAGAATGCTTCCCTGTCTGGGCCTCCTTCTGCGTCACAGGGCTGTTGCAGGGAGGCAAGTTCACACCTAAGGCGGGCAGCCACACCAGAAGTCCACTGCACAGGTCCACATCTGCACCGAGAAAGCAACCCCAGGCTCTCAGGGGCCTCCATCACAAAGCCAGAGAGCACAGTGTGGATATTTTCAGCTCAGCTCTGTTCCTTACTTTCTAAACTCCAGGCAAACAGCTGGCTCAATATTTGTGAATGGCTGACAAGGATAAAAACCTTCATTTTCTTCCTTCTGATTTCCTTTTGGTGGCTCTGGGGTTGGAACCCAGTGCTCTCTCACTGGGTGAACTTTTTGTAAATTTTAAGACAGGGTCTTGCTAAATTGCCCAGGCTGGGCTTGAAAGTGCAATTGTTCTGCATCTGCCTATCAGGTGCTGGGATTACAGGCGTGCACCACCATGCTCAGCCCTCTGCAGTTAATTCTTAAGATTAAAACAAAAAAGTTTGCAGAAACTTTTTTTGTACCATTTGCGAAGCCCTATAGTTCAGTAGTCACTGAGGTTGTATGAGCTGCTCTGAGCAGTAAAAATACTAATTTATCTAAGAAGGGAGGCACATCTCACGTGGACACGGGGCGGGAAATAAAGTATTTTAAATCACTCTTTGTGTCAGGTGTGGTGGCACATGCTTGTAATCCCAGCACTCTGGGAGGCTGAGGCAGGAGGGCTGCAAGTTTAAGCCCAGCCTCAGCAACTTAGTGAGATCCTGTCTGAAAATAAAAAAATAATAAAAGAGATACTCAGCGAGAAGGGCCTGAATTTCATCCCCAGTGCCAAGGTTGGGGAGACTGCTTTCTCCGTGGCTCGATGGGTGGGATTTGAGGGGTCCTCCGCGTCAGCATCCCCATTCCACATGAGGGCTGCAGGGCCGAGGCTGAGGGCTGCTGGCGAGACTGAGGTGGACTGGCCAGGACACAGAGGAGGACGACGTGGTGGGTGCCCACCGCCCTTAATACAGAGCTGGGTGGGCGCTGAGCAGCTTGCAGAGTCGAGTGAGGGGGCATTCCCCACGCCCGGGCAAAAAGTGCGCAGAAACCAGCAGAGCTCGGGTTCTAGTCTCCCGCACAGCCTCCTGGGAAAGGGCTTCAGGGGTCTCACCATTTGTTTACTGACCCCTCCGTACTGGGGTCAGGATCAGGGCGCTCGTGAGCCTGCTAGGCTGCATCCAAACACTTTCCATTTTATTCTTCATTTTGAGGCTAAGTCTCGTTAGTTGCCCAGCCTGGGTTGGCACTTGCGACCCTCCTCCCTCAGCCTCCCTCAGCACTGGGGTGACTGACAGGCGTGCACCACTGCGCCTGGCCGGTGCCTCACTGTTCCCAAGTAGCGCTTCAGGACGCTCAGACAGGAGTGAGAAACAAAACATAGAAAGCACGCCGGCACTTGGGAGGCTGAGGCAGGAGGTTCGCCACGAATTCGAGGCCAGCCTGGGGTACATGGAGACCTGACTCAAAAAACCAAGGAAGTGCAACGCACAGACCAGCGGCAGAGCGGAAGGGCAGCGGCGAGGTAAGAGCTACCAGCGCCTGCCGCAGGTCCTCTCCGGCCCAAGAAAGTTCCCGCGCCCAAGCCATGATTTCAAGCTCGGCGACCACGCTGGAGCCCGGCTGCGGACGTCACGCGACCGACGCACGGCGGGGGCGGAGAGACACAGCCCCGGGCCCCGCCCCCCGCACGCACAAGTGCTCCAGGTGCCGCTCTGCGTCCCGGCGCCGCCGCAGCTCGTGCTCGGGCCCCTGCGGCCGCCGCGCGCCCCCCGCCCCCGCGCCTTCGGACCCCGGCCGGGACGACATCGCGGCCCCGCCCCCCACAGCAGCCGACCTGGCACAGCCTCTACGCTGCGCGTTCTCTCCCGCTTGCGCCCCCTGGCGGAAGACGGTGGGGCGGATCGGAGTCGGACGCTTGAGGGCGGGGCCTGAAGGTGCTTCCGGGGGCGGGAGGGGCGGGGCCGAGAGGACTTCCTGGGGCCGGAGGGAGCGGGGCGGGGCGTGGTGTGGCGTGGCGGGGGAGGGGCTGAGCTGGAGAGGAGGGCGGGGCCGGAGAGGGCGTCTCGCGCTTGGGCGGAGCCTACGGTGCCCCCGCCCCCAAGGAAAACGACTGGAGCTGCTCGACACAGAGCTAGGTATTAATAGGATTCACCTATTGTGAGAAGAAAGCAAGGCTTTTGGTTACGGGAAAACCAAAATAAACCCGCCACCGTCTCTTGCTGTTTGTTAAAGATCTGATGTTCTTGGGGCCTAGCATTGCAGCTCAGTGGTCGCTGCGCCCGAGGAAGGGAGAGAAAGGAAAATTACCCCTGATTTTGGAGGTCGCACGCTGGGCAGTGCACGATCAGCCCCGTGGCACCTCTGGTACCGCGATAGCAGCGACCCAGGTGCTGACTGGGGACACAGACTCGGGCTGGCGCTGGCTGGGCGGCAAAGCGAGGTCTCTGTTTCCGCTGCCCCGGCTCCTCCGCGGCCTGTGCCCCCCGCGTGGACGGCTGACCCCTGGAAGGTCTCTGTCTGGAGCCAGGCGCAGGCCACCTCCACCTCGCTGTAAGTTCGAGGCCAGCCTGAATTACGTATCAAGGCTTTGTCTCAAAGAAAACTTCTAGGGGGCCTAGGGATTTAGTCCAGCGGCACAACGCCTGCCTGGCAAACGCGAGGTCGTGAGTTCGATTCCCGGTACCGGAAAAAAAATTTTTTTTTTTCCTCCTGTCAATTGTAGTAAGAGATGATGAGCTCTGTGTGCTGCGTTTTAGATGATGGCACATGCATAGTGCCCATTACATTTATTTATGTTTGGGTCAGTGAGCTAACAGCCTGGGTGCCCGCTATGGTCCCTGTGTTCCCAACACGGACAGGTGTAAGAATCTAACGTGGGTCGGGGAGGGCCGCTCTGCTCTGGGGTGGCTTCGTCCACTCTGCAGTTGGCCGGTGGTTCTGGGCTTGGTGATCCAGAATGCGATCATCTGCCTGTCTAGGGAAGTGGCGGAGGAAACCTGACATTTCTGCCATCATCCTGCAGGTGTCACCATGTATGTTGCTCACACTGGTACAAAAGGTTATTATTATTATTATTATTATTATTATTTTGGTCTTTTTGAGACAGGGTCTTGCTATGCAGCTCAGGCTGGCCTTGAGCTCACTTCATAGCCCAGGCTGATCTCGAACTCTCAACGATCCTCCTGCCTCAGCCTCTGGAGTGCTGGGATTACAGGCGTGTGCCACCAAGCCTGGCCTAAAAGGTTATTTTTATGTACACTTCACAGTATCTACTGACAGCTTTGTATATTCTTGGTTAATTATGGAGTACAGTATTCTATTCTTTTTGGTGCTATTGTTAAAAGAAATTGTTTTCTTAATATAAAGAAATTAAGTCACTTTTTGTGTATCGGTTTGCTAAATTTCTAACAGTGTGCAAATGCATACACACAGGTTATCCAGGTTGAAATGTAGATTTAAAATAAAAAAAAATTCTGTTATTTTGGTTTGGGTGCTTTGTATAGGACATAAGGATCTATGCACATTGGGAATTTAAAAATATGGTTTGATAGCTTTCTGCTGCTCTGACAAAATTCCTGAGAGTGACACCTTAAAGGAGGAAAGTTATTTTGACTCGCAGTTTCAGAGATTTTGGTCCATAGCCTGCTGGCTCCATTATGCTGTGCCTGGACCCAGGCAGAGTATGGTGGAAGAAGCGGGCCGAATGGAGCTCACCTCGTGGAAGCCAAAATGGGAGAGAGTGGAAGAGCCTGTGTGGTGGGTTCTCCCTCTGTTTTTGCTCCAGCTGGGCCCCCAGTGTACTGAACAGTGCCACCAACATTCAGAGCAGGCCTTCCCCTCAAATTACTGTCCCAGATACCAGTTGTCCTTGGACACACCCAGAAGGGTGCTTCACTAAATTTCTAGGCATTGTCTTAATCCAACTAGGTGGACACATAGCATTTTTTTTTTATAGTTATGTTTATTTTCTACATTATTAGAGCAGTTATTTGGTACAAAATAAAAATTTCCCTTTTTTCTCTCCTTTATTTTTTATCATATACAAACGTTAATATTTCTTCTAATTTTCTTGTTTTTAAAGAATAAACATGGTGAAATGTCTTTGGCTTATGCTTCATATTAGAATTGAAGTGTTTCTCAACCCCAGGCACATTCAGCTATTTGATCTTTGACGATGGGGCCAAAAAATACACTTGAGGAAACGCAGCCTCTTTAATAAATGGTGCTGGGAAAACTGGCTAGCCACATGTAGAAGATTGAGTCTAGACCTGTATCTCTTATGATATACTAAACTAAAATCAAAATGGATTACAGATCTAAATGTTAAACCAGAAACACTTAATCTACTGGAAGATAAAATAGGTAAAATTCTTGAAGTTCTAGATGTAGGCAAGGACTTTCTGAACAGAACCTTGGTTACACAGGAAACAGTTCCAAGAATCAACAAATGGGATCATATCAAATTAAAAAAGTTCTGCATAGTAAAAGAAACAACAAATAGAACAAACAGCACACCTACAGAATGGGATAAAATGTTGCCAGCTATTCCTCAGGCAGAAGACTAATATCTACAAAGTATAAAGAATTTAAAAAAATTAGACCATCCAAAATAAAAGATGCAATCAAAAATTGGGCAAATAAAATGAACAGGCACTTCATAAGAGAAATACAAGTGGCCAATAAGTACATGAAGAAATAGTCAACATTGCTGGCCATTACAGAAATGCAAATCAATTAAACACTTGGATTCCATCTCACTCCAGAAAGAATGACCATAATCAAACCAAATAATAGGAAATGCTGGCAAGGGTGCAAGAGAAGGAGCCCTTATGCATTGTGGGTGGGAATGTAAAGTAGTACAACCACTATGGAAATCATCAAAAAACTAAAACTAGAAATTCGGTTTGATCCAGCTATTCCTCTTCTAAGTATCTTTCTCAAAGAGTTTAATATGTCATATTTCAGTGATATATACATACTCATGTTTATGGCAGTGTAATACAACTAAATCTCAGGAGCAGCCTATATGTCCATTAACAGATGAATGGATAAATAAAATGTAGTATTGTACACAATGAAGGAAAAAACGAGTTTACTACTGTAAAGAAAGATAAATGAGTTATTTGTGGGAAAATAGATGCACCTACGATATTAAGTGAAATAAATCACACACCTGCTTAAGTATCACATAGTTTCACTTATACGAGAAACCCAAGTTATAAATAAGGAGCAAAATAAAAGATACATAAAAGGAAACAGGAATGCTAGACCTTTATTTATTTATTTGTGTAGTCTTTTTGAGACGGTCTTGCCGTGCAGTTCAGGCTGGCCCTGAGCTCATTTTGTTGCCCAAGCTGGCCTCGAACTTGCAAGGATATTCTGCCTCTGTCTCCCCACTCTTGGGATTAGAGGCGTGTGCCACCATACCCAGTTTAGGTCCTTCCCAAAAGAGAAGGGGATCAAGAGATGGAGTGTGTGGGAGGAGAGGGGAAGAGGATGAAAAAGGTAATGAAGTTGTGTTATGTACATGTACCAACTCCACTCAAGGAATGTAAACATTATGTATTGAAACAATTAAAAAAATGAAAAAAAAACATAAAATGACAGCAATTTCAAATTGCCTAGGAAAAAAGTGGCTTTCAAAAAGCAGTTACCTATAGTTATCTTAGTTTTGGGATACAGAAGTACAGATACATAATTAAAGAAGAATTCTTTTTAAATCTTTGAATTTGTAGCTAAAGTCTTACAGAAGTATAATTCAAATGAATAAAATTATGAAATAAAATTGCTCTAAAAGATTTGAAATAAAATGTGGCTTAGTTATAGTTAACATAATTGTGAAGCCCTAAGAGTTTTGCCACCATCTTTGGGAAAAATTGATTCTGAGAGACTAGAGCTAAATACGCTGATGCCCATTCCAACTCCTTGCACTGCAAAAAGGGGCAAAACCCCAGTAGTACAAGATATTGTGAAAGAGCACACGTACAGCCCCATCTGTCATGCAGATTTGCAACATGAAAATATTTTAAATGTTCAAGTTATAAGTGGAAAAGTTTATTACATTTTTAAGATTATGTCTACTGAATTACCTTTACCTTGGTCCATGTAAGCAGGCTAGATATAGATGTCACTTAAATTTATACCTGTTTATTTGTGCAAAGTTAAAGCATTGAAATTCTGTAGTCAAATTATCTGAATCAGTTAAAACCAAGTAAAAAAAAAAAAAAACCAAGTCACTATTATTTGCGAAACTAAATATTGGTCATGACAAATATTTGGTGTCTTCTGTGTGACAGACTTTAGCGTGTTGAAGCTTTGATTTGGGAAAATGGTTTCCAAGCCCTGCTGGTTCTGACTACGGGATGTGTCTGTGGGCACAGTTACTCTGCAGGTAAAATCCACACAGGACTCCTCAGGCATCATCATGCCACATACGGGGACACGTGTTCATCCCAGGACACCAGCCAACCAACACACGGTGGAAACCAAGGGCAACAATCTAGACATCCACTCACATCCCTGTTCACATCAGCAGCCGACTGTATAGTAATATAATTACTATATTTTGTTCCACGAGATATGCAATTTATTTTAGTGGTACTGGGGATTGAACCCAAGGCTTTTGGTCTGAGCTATATCCCGGCCCTTTTTTATATTTCTTTTGAGACAGAGTCTCGCTAAGTCACTAAATTGTTCAGGTTGGGCTCAAATTGGCAATCCTCTTGCCTCCAAGGATGGTGGGATTACAGGTGTGCACCCCCGCGACTGCTCAGTTTACTTGTTCCTCTGTGAGGTTATAGCTGGAGATTACTGGCATTTCATGTTTAGTGAACGGATGTATTACAAAACTGATATTTTTCTTTTGAAAATGAATTTTGAGGTTCAGTCCATATGCTGTTCCCCCTCATGCTGTAGCATAGGTCCTAATAAAGCCTCTTTTAGGTGGCGAAAACATGACGAAGTAAAAAATTACGTCTTCAAATTCGGATTTATAGATCTTTGTTACTATCTGCTGGTTCTGTAGTTCGGTTGCACTTTCAGAATGGGGAGGGGGCGTGCTTGCCCTTGGAACCCCTCTTTGCCCTGTAGTGGTGGCCTTAACCGCGGAGGGCGAGTCGTGAGGCTGCGCAGGGTGTGAGCCACAACCTTGGAACAGGGACTGTAAGGAAATGGCCGAGGCGGGGACACGGCCGCCTCCGAGACTCCTGCACGGGGTCCTGAAGAGGCTTTCCAGAGGGCGAACGCCATGCATAGGCTGGGAACAACAGCACCCCGCCTTGGTGAGCAGCGGGAGGGCGCCGGCCTGCAGAGGGCGGTGCGGCTTGGACAGAGATGGGGGACGGCCCCGCTGGAGGAGCTGGGACTCAGAGCTCAGCCCTGTATCAAAAGAAGTTACAGGAATCAGGGCCAGTGTCACCGTTTGTAAAAATGATTTTCTCTACATTTAAAATAAAGCACAATAAGGGAAGCAGTTATTTCCCTACACTTTACTAGTGCACGTTAGTTATACAGACGAAGGAGTTCGCTGAGGCAAATTTGTAACGCACGTAACGCGCATTCATCATTATCTCCATTACCCTTCCCCTAGAGTCAGTTCTCTCTCTCTCTCTCTCTCTCTCTCTCTCTCTCTTTTTTCTTCAATGTGTTTAATGTATTTCTATCATGTCTGTGTTGTTTTAATTAGTTAAGATCATGAATAGTGGAAATAGGGCCCAAATAGGTGATGCCACCGGGATTGATACCTATTTACTTCCATCTTGCTGTGGAGTTTTAATATCTAAAATTGGAGACCTTTTAAAATGTAAAGAAGGTTTTTCTTTCTCCATTTACAGCCCTTGTTTTCTGTAGCTTGAGAGAAAACTCAGATGTTCCTGTCTCCATGAACCCAGTTTCGAGCTAGGCTCTTGGTCAGGCGCCTGCTGATATGAACAGAGATGTGAATGGATGTCTAAGTTGTTGCCGTTGGTTTCAACCGTGTGTTGGTTGGCTGGTGTCCTGGGATGAACACGTGTCCCCGTATGTGGCATAATGATGCCTGAGGAGTCCTGTGTAGATTTTACCCGCAGTGTAACTGTGCCCACAGACACATCCTGTAGTCAGAACCAGCAGGGCTTGGAAACCATTTTCCCAAATCAAAGCTTCAACACATTATGGTCTGTCACACAGAAGACACCAGTAAGTGCCGAATTATGACAGAGCATGACAGTGTTTCTGGAGCTCAGAAGAGGGAACTGGCACTTCCTGGTGGGAAGTGGGAAAGGAGACCAGGAAAGACTTTCAGGAAAAAGTGGGATTTGCATTGTGGCAAAGGGCTAAACTTTGGAGTTGTGGAGATGGTACCCTACCTAGTAACAGGGGCTGGCAGAACTGCAGGATGGAAGTCAGTGCATTCTACAGCATGAGAATGGTCCCTGCAGTCCAGCTGGAGGAAATTTCCTGAAAGAAGAAAAGGTAGAAAGTGGGTTGAAAGATCAGGACCAGTCCTGGAGAGCCTAATTCAAGCTGGGTGCAGGGCATTTGAGCCTCTTTCTGTAGGAAGGCACTGACTGGTTCTTCTCTATAAAAAATGTTTTTGGTGAGAGAAGGTCACACAAATCATTTTAAATTCAGTGGCAGTTACTACACTAAATAATTTTTAAATTGGACAGCAACTTTATTATGGTTGATACACTGTGTCAACTTGAGTCTGGAAGCTTAACTAAGTGACTCAGCAGTTCTACATCCTGGGGTGAACAGGACATGCCCTTACCACTCTAGGATGTTGTTCATTGTGTCAACTTGAGAAGTTTACAGGGTTAAGTATGTGACTCAGCAGGGGACCGGGATCCTTACTTTGTATCATCTTGAGCCTGTGCAAGGGAAGGGCATGGAGAGTGTGTGAGTTGTACACCTGCTCTGGGTGGGGGGAGCCTGCTTACAATATAAGGGAGGAAAAGAAGCTTGTTCTACCCTCCTTGTATTCCTGCTGCTTTTGCTGTGTTCTGCTGCCTTGAAGTATTACCCATGTGCGATGCCACTCTGCCTTGGAGCCAGCTGATTATGGACTGAAATCTCCACCAACTTAGGTAAATAAACCTTCCTTCCTTAATTTTGGGTGTTGGGTCTTTCATCTCAGCAACAAGAGAAAAGTAACCAAGACAAACTTGATCAGAAGTAGGGCTCCTGATGAACTAGGCAGGAGCGCATAGGTGGGTTGGAGATGGACTGAGGAAGGAGAGAGAAAGTGATTGGAAAACCACTACTTGAATCCGGGCTGCAGTGTTGTAAAGGAGGGTGGTAACGGTAGGGATGGAGAGTAGAGGACAGAGATGACACTATGGAAACAGATTGAAAGGACTAGATAGATGGTCAGCTAGAAAAAGAAGGAGGAGGAAGGAGGAGAAAGTCCATTCAGAAATGAAGATTATGGGTTTGGAAATTGTAGAGGTGGTAAGTGAAACTTGAGATTGAAATTGTCAAGGGATACCAGTGAGGAGGGAGAAAGGGCATAAGGGAAATATGCTTGGGGAAAACTTACACTTTAAGAGATGAAAGGAAGGAAAAACCAGATTCAGTGTGTGAAATGTGAGTGTTTAGAAAAATACAACTAGGAGAGACAGTGTGACAGAAGATTAGAGAGAAAAACACAAAACTCTGATCCAACGGTATGGGAAGACTGAAACACTTAAAAATTGAGGGAGGACATTGATTTTAATAATGAAAATGCATTTTTTGTTTTGTTTTTTGAGATAGGGTCTTGCTCTATACTCTAGGCTGACCTTGAACTAACTATGTAGCCCAGGCTGGGCTTGAACTAGGGGCAATCATTCTGCCTCAGCCTCTCCAGTGCTGGGATTATAGGTGTGCGAAACTACGACCAGCTCCAATACTGCCTTTGGATATCCAGATATATAAGGGGCCATTTCCTGAATATTCCAATATAGAGGACTGACCTAACAATTACTAAAACTTATCCAAGAAGATATAACAAATCCAAAAAATAAAAAAGACAATGAAATTGAGACACTAATAAAAATCTGTCCCACTTAACAAAAACCCAGGAGCTGACTTGTTTAGATCTACATTTTATCAGGACTTGAGGGAAAACTACTGCCAATATTCAAACTCTTCTATGAAATTGAAAGGAAAAGAACACTGCTAGTGTCATTTCTTCAATCTAGCATTATTATGATACCAAAACAGGTCAAGGACTCAACAAAAAATGAAAATTACAGGCCAGTTTTATTAATGCAGACAGGCATAGAAATTCTCACAAAAATGCTTGTAAGCAAAGAAAACAAATCATAAAAAGATCATACATCATGACGAAGAGTAATTCCTCCAAAGCATGCAAGGGTAGGTGAACTTGTGTAAATGAATAAATGGAAAATACCACATAAAGAGAAGG